CGGTGACCCCGCCGTGAGCACGCGGGGACCCCACCGTGACCCGCGGGACCCCACGGTGACCCACGGTGACCCACGGTTACCCACAGTGACCCGCGGGTCCCCACGGTGACCCCACGGTGACCCACGGTGACCCCGCCATGAGCTCACGGGGACCCCACGGTGACCCGCGGGTCCCCACAGTGACCCACGGTGACCCCGCCGTGAGCACGCGGGGACCCCATGGAGTCCTACGGGACCCCACGGAGCCCCACAGTGACCCCATGGCACCCAGAGTGACACCACGGGGACCCCACGGAGCCCCACGGGACCCCACGGAGCCCCACCATGACGCCATGGCACCCACAGTGACCCCACAGTGAACCCACAGTGACCTCACGGTGACCGCATGGCACCCACAGTGACCCCATGGTACCCACAGTGGCCCCACGGTGACCCCCATGGTACCCACAGTGACCCCATGGCACCCACAGTTACCCCACGGTGACCCCATGGCACCCACACCACCCACAGTTACCCCACGGTGACCCCATGGTACCCACAGTGACCCCACAGTGAACCCACAGTGACCCCACGGAACCCCACGGTGACCCCATGGCACCCACACCACCCACAGTGACCCCACGGTGACCCCATGGCACCCACACCACCCACAGTTACCCCACGGTGACCCCATGGCACCCACACCACCCACAGTTACCCCACGGTGACCCCATGGCACCCACACCACCCACAGTTACCCCATGGTGACCCCACGGAACCCCACGGTGACCCCATGGCACCCACACCACCCACAGTGGCCCCACAGTGACCCCATGGCACTCACGGTGACCCCATGGCACCCACAGTGACCCCATGGTACCCACAGTGGCCCCACGGAGACCCCCATGGTACCCACAGTGACCCCATGGCACTCACGGTGACCCCATGGCACCCACAGTGACCCCGTGGCCACCCCACACCGACCCCATAACTGCCCCCATGGCCACACCACATCCCCCATAGCAACCCCATGCCCCCCCCCCAGGCACCCTGAAACCCCAAAACTGCCCCTTGGCCACGCACAGCCCCCCCCGGGGCACCCCAGGACCCCACAAGTGCCCCCCCAGAGCCCCCAGCCCCACCTTGGGGAACCTCTCCCCCCCGACGTGGTTCATCATCACGATCTCGTTGTCGTGGGACGAGGGCGAGCGCCCGCCCCCCCCACAGGGGGCACGGCTGGCACCCGCGGGACCCCCGCTGTCCCACCCCCCAGCACCCCCCC